CTGATCGTTTGATCGGTCCGGTCCCCAGCACTTCTGGGCAACCTGAGCCTTTCCTGAGCGTAGCGAGGGCGTCCGGGATGGAGGGGGTTGATGGGCGGAGAGGAAGAGGGGCAGGGAGGGGGAGGGACGGTCCGAGAGAGGGGGAAGGGAGCGGAGGGTAGAGTTAAGTCGGGCCTGTCCTTTTACAGGGGGGATATGCAAAAAATAGTCAAAAAATAGTCTGGGGACTATTTTTTTTTATTTTGGGACATATTTTGAGTATTGTTTGGGTATTTTTAATTTTCCGTCCAAAATTCCTCTGTAGGGGGACAGGCCCGACCTAAGGGTAGAGGGAGAGGGGGGGCAAGCTAGGTGCGCTCGCGTCATATCTGACATCCTTCCCCTCCCTCCCATCCCTTACTATGGCGTATATCCCCTCTCTACTCGCACAGTCGGATGTCGAGCAGGGCAATGATCCCGAAAGGGTACGCGATGCATTGTAGAGCACGGCATGGCATGGCGTAGAAGAGCACCGCAAAGCGTAGTATGTCACAGCATGGCGTGGCGTGGCGTAGTGAAGAAGTGCATCACAAAACTTTGCAACGCAAAGCATGGCATCGCACAGCGGCCCCGAACATAACATTGCACAGAATGGCGTTGAAGATCAAAGCGTAGCATGGCATAGCACGACGTGGCAATTAAGCACTGCATATCACAGCTTCAGCTGAAGGCATGGCATCGCGCAGCGGAACGCAACCTAGCATTGCATTGCATGCCGTGGCATGGCACGGGACATGACGCCAGCGCTGCAGCGGGAGCACGATTCGGAACGAGCGAAAGCCCGGAAATGAGGCCAGCGCTGCAGCGGGAGCACGATTCGGAACGAGCGGAAGCCCAGAAATGAGGCCAGCGCTGCAGCGGGAGCACGATTCGGAACGAGCGGGGCCCGAAAATGAGGCCGTCGCCTCAGCGAGAGCAGCATTTTGAAAACAAATGCAAGCGAAAACCCACCTCCGGGGAATCCTGTGTGTAGAAAAACGGTACGCGGGGGGGGCGAACACTCCCAAGCCGTCATCATGGGAAGGAGGAGAGTCGTATTCATAAATTGTAGAGGGAGGGAGTGTCTGCGACGAGTGGTTTTGCGGCTTTCCCCCCCTCTGCTTGCTCCTCCCTGATCTCAGCCGTGCCGTCTCGTCGTCGTCGTCGTCGTCGTCGTCGTCGTCGTCGTCGTCTCTCTTTCTCTTGCCACGGGGCTCCTCTCGGCTGGCGAAACATGTGTGCAACGAGGGGCTTGGTGCGAGGCGTGCTCCTTGTAGCGAAAAGAGAGATGACGGTCATACAGTTATACAGAATGGCCATGGCGTGAGACCTAGCCGAAGACACGCACGCAATAGGAGCGAGCGAACCGGGGCGGCCCCCAGGCGAGAGGGAACGCTTCTGCACAAAGGGCCGCGCAAAGGAAGGGAGAGGGGGAATAATTACATGCTACGCGCCTAGTAAGTTCGCGCGCCGTCATCTAGGGTACCCTTGTGTCCTTGCCTCTGCGGCCCGTCCTCTGCCGTTTTCACTGGTCGCCCGCGGCCCGCAAAATCCCAACTTCGGCCTCCAAGGGTGTTGCGTCCTTACCATCCGTCCTTCATACACGTTTTGACTGCACGGAGAAGTGGACGAGGGGAGGGTGGATTTTCCTCCGTCGGGGTCGACGCGGCACGGTCAGGGACACCACATCAGCACGGAGCTCGCGCGTCCGGCACGGCTGCCGCTTGGAGGCCAGGCCGAGCCGATAAGAGCCAGCGGGGCCTCGAGGTGTGAGGTCAGATCATATTTGGAATCGCCACTGGTTATTTCTCCTCCTCCTCCTCCTCCTCCTCCTCCTCCTCCTCCTCCTCCTCCCCGCCCCTGCTCGCTGCCTTTTCCCGTCCGCCTCGCTGAGGCACTCGTCCGCGCTCGCTCAGCTGGCCTCCAAGATCAACGCCGTGATCAGGTTCGGCGCGGGCGCTGGCGAGGACCCCCCCCCCCCGCGGGCTTCCGAGCGCGAGGTCAGTCACCACCCCTGAGATCTGTGAGTTGCAATATGTATGCCCTCCATCCTTCCACCAGTCTTCTCTTCCCTCCCCCGCCTGGGATCCGCGATACTCCCCCGCCTGGGACCCGCGATACTTTCTATCCGCGGTCCGGGTTCGCCCGGTTCCGGGCCCCGGGACCATCACGGATCGGCACGTTCTGAAGTCCAGAACGTCGACCCCCAGAGGCCTCGGCCCATCCCCTGGGACCGGCGGTGCCTCATCCCGGATCGGATTTTCGACGGCCCCGAGGCCCGGCAAGGCCCCCGGGCGCCGAAGAGAAGAAGCAGGTCGTGTCCTGGTTGCTGTCACGACTCGAGGGGGCCTGGGTCCTGGGGGCTCCGAGCACGCGATGGGGCTCCGCGCGCCCGCGCGGGCGAGGGAGGCGGAGCCGGGGGGCGCCGGGCCGTGGCCGACGGGCGAGGAGGCCGGCCGCGGGCGCGGGCGGGCTCGTGCCCGAGAGGGGCGATCCACGTCGGGGACGCGGTGCCGCAGGGCACCTGGAAGTTCGGGCGCTGCAGCGTTTTCACACGGGGCGTGTTCTCGCGTCGTCCTGTTGGTTTCCCATGTGCCTCTCCCAGGCCACGGTTCTCTGCACGAGTCTGCCTAGTGCAGGTCGGCTTGTGTGCGGCGTTCTGGGTTTGCTCGGTGACTCTCTGATCCGCATCGCGGTCATCTGCTTTGCGATCTCACGCCGTCTGGCTCATCATGCGAACGGCGAGCATCGAAGCATGTGCATGCCTTGCGAGGAGAATGAAAGTCACCGAGCGTTTTCGCCTGGTGTCGGGCCCCGGGGCCATCACTCGGCCCCGCGAAAGAGTGGCCCTTCGTCGGAGCGACTGCTGCTGCGGGCCCACAGTGGTGGCCCCAGCACCAGCCCGCGCGCTCGGACTTCGGCCCTCCGCGGTCCCGCAACGCCGCGCGCGCACTGGAGGTCTCTCTTGCCCAGGGCCGCCCATGCGCGCAGCCGGGTCACGGGTCGATGCGGTCGTGGCTGCTCGCGGGGTCGCAGCTTGTGCGCGGCGTCTCGGGGCAGGCGCGGGTCTCCGCGCACCAGCGCAGGCGAGGGGGGCTGAATTTGAAGGGCGCGGAACCGCGAGCGACCGCAGACAGGCCGCAGCGCGGCCGCGGCCGCGAGGCAGGAAGAGGAGCAGGAGGAGGAGGACCAGTGTAAATCCAAGAGTCACCAACGATGTTGGAATGAACCCTCCCTCCAGGCTCCCTCTTCAGAGGCCCCTATTAGTGGTTCATGTCCATTCAGGGGACTTGCCTCGTTGAAAGACAGTTGAAGACCCTGAAGCATGCATAAACATTGTACTCGGTATTCCAACGCCACGGATCAACCTGACTGTTTCGTTTTGACGATCCTGAATCGTGCCAGAACACCATTCATGGGACTTCAACACCGCGAATCAGCATAATTGTTGCACCCGCATAATCCTGGATCCGTTCAAGCAGCAACTGTTTGTACGCTGATCATGGGCATCCGCGAATCTCTTGCACAGTTTATGAACACATGTGCGGCGCGCTAAGGCGAGAGACACATTTTGAAAACGACTCGCCCTCAATCCGTGAAACTCTTCCAACTGTTTAGAACGAATGTGCGCGGCGCTAAGGCGAGAGCCACATGTTGAAAACGATTCGCCCTCAATCCGAGAAGCTCTTGCACATGTTTAAAACAAATGTGCGCGGCGCTGAGGCGAGAGCCACATTTTGAAATCCACTCGCCCTCAATACGTGAAGCTCTTGCATTTGTTAACAAATGCGCGGGGCGTTAAGGCGAGAGCCACATTGTGAAAACGACCCGCCCTCCATCTGTGAAGCTGCTGCTTAAGCTTCACAGTTATCAATGGTGGGGGAATCTCAGGCGAAACGCCCGGCTCGCCTTAAAAACTGGCCTCGGGGTGCGACAGGGAGAAGATATTCACAAGGAACAGGAATGAATGATGAGGAGGAGGAGGAGGAGGATGACGAGGACGAGGACGAGGACGAGAAGGACGAGGACGAGGAGGAGGGAGGACGAGGAGGAGGGAGGAGGAGGAGGGAGGAGGGAGGAGGAGGGAGGAGCGCCCACTGCTGAGGCCAGGAGGGGGGCCAGAGAGGAGGGAAGAGCCCCCGCCGCAAGAGCCAGGCGGGGCCGGGGAGGAAGAGCAGAGAGAAAGGCGCCCGCTGCTCCAGGCAGGAGGTAGGCCAGAGAGGAAGGAGGGGGAGGGCGCCCGCTGCTCGAAGAGAAACCGCAGGTGGGCGAGAGGACAAGAGGTCCCCGCTTCAGGAGACAGGAGGGAGGCTACTCCAGATTTCGTAATAAAGGGAGGGGGGTCTCATTTCGGGGGGGGGTCTCTTCCAGGCTATCTTGGAGGGCCGGGGGGGGTCTGGGAACGATGTTTTGGAGGATTCTCCCACGGGGGGGGGGTCTGAAATGGCTTGTCTTGGAGGGTCCAGACCCCCTCCCTTTTATTACGAAGTCTGGAGTAAGGAGGAAGGAAAGACGCCCACCACCACCACGCAGGGGGCAGCCAGGTCATGTCGACGGCTCGTGCGTCCCAACCTGGTCAGGATCTCGGAAGAGGGGGGAAGGGCGCCCGCCGCCAAAGGCAGGAGGGAGGCCCGGGAGGTAGGAGGAAGAGCGCCCGTTGCCCAAGGCAGTCGGGCGGCAAGGAAGGTGCTGCAAAAGAGGAGGGCTGCAGGGAAGGGAAGGCACCTGATGCAGAAGACAGAAGGGAAGACGCCTACTACCACCACAGCCAGAGTCATCTCGACGGCCCAGTTGTCCCAACCCCCGCAGGACCCCTTTGTGAAGGTCAAGGGTCTCATTCGGGACATGATCGAGAAGCTGGAGGCCCAGGCTGGCACTGAGGCCACCGAGAAGGCGTACTGCGATGAGCAGGTGGGCCTGGCCCCAGCTCATTTCACCCCCTCTCTGTCCTCGCTCGACATCTCCGACGTCAAGTTCATAGTCGTGGATGAGCACGAACAGTGATATTGGTGCGCGGTGTCTGATGGTCATCGGTGGTCGGCCACGTGCAGTATTCAGTGGGTTGTCGGGATGGCGACAATTTTGTCCTCCCTGTAGTTGATAATGCTGCAGACGAGCGTAGACTGTACTCGAAGCAGCGGCCGCACCCGTGGCGACGAAGAAACCTGCAATCACGTTCGATCGGCGACCGATGTGTCTATGATAGATTGACTGGGGTATGTGGTGTGATGGGGTCTTTCTGTTCGTGCACCAAGACTCTCTCCTCTCCTCCTCCCCCCTCTCCTCATGCTGTCACGTTTTCTGCCACTCGGCGTCCCGTTTTTGTTCGTTGCCTCGTGTCGAGTGTCTGCGCAAGGCCTTCCCGTGGCAGGCCGATATTTTTACCGTGGCCGATGTGTCGTATTTGCCGGATGCGTGCGTTGCTGGGGATGAGTGGGCGCCGAGATTAGCGCTGGACAGGACATCTTCTTGCTCACCATTCCCACTCCCAGGTCCCTGGCGTCATGATTTGTTCATAACGTCGACCCCCAGAGGTCTCGAGCCATTCCCCAGGACCGGTTTTTCATCCTGAATCGTTTTTGACGGTCCGAGGCTTGGTGACCCCCAGAGGCCAGAAAAAGCGAAAAACCTCCCGTCGTGATTTTTGTTGCCACGCGAGGGGGTCTGGTTGGGCTCACCGCGTTTGGCGACTGTTTCCTCGCACCCGCCGTGCTCTGGCCGCGGCGCGCGGCTCCGCCCCAGATGGCCAAGACGGAGGCCAAGAAGGGCGAGCTGGACTTCGACATCTCCAAGCTCAGCGCCAAGATCGACAAGGCCAGGCGGGCGAACGCAGTCAGAGGAGGAAAAGGTACCTATACTGCTACCCTTCGCCTAGTTTTCCCCCTTTGGGGGGGCATCGTCGATCAGAGCGCACCCCGGGAGAGGTCCGGGGAGTAGCGGTATCGGCATTTTTTCCCCAATCAGGCTTGCCTTAGGAGTTCTTACTTGGTTCAAGGTTGGTGCCTCGGGAGGCTACTTTGCCCGTT